GAGAGAGAGAGAGATAAAGAAGGCAATATATGAGAGGTGAAAGAGAGAAACAGAGGATAAAACAGGGGGGATGGATCCGGTGATCAAACTGTTCGGAAAGACAATTAAGCTGCCGGCGATGAGAGAAGTTATGGCTAATACTGCCGGAGAAGACAGAGGCGAATATGAGAAGAAGGTAATTTAATGGCTGCTTCTCTTATTCGGTCTGCAACGTATGGTTGAGGTGTTTCAAGTGAGAAAAATGGGATTTTTAATTGGTATAGATATGGGCCCCTCGTGCAGCTCTTGGGATTTGGTGATGGTTTTTCTTCTTGTTTTTTTGTTTAACTGGAATTCTTGATGTTGGTTGCCTAAAATTTTAATTTTTTAATCGCTGTGCATTGTTCATCCCTGAAGAAAGAAAATTTAAGAGCTCAAACCAACGATGATCTATAATTTTGATTGAGCAAAAAGAGAGAAACAGAGGAGAAAACAGGGGGGATGGATCTGGTGATCAAACTGTTCGGAAAGATAATTCAGCTGCAGGCGGCGAGAGGTCTGGCGGCTACTGCCGGAGAAGACAGAGGCTAATATGAGAAGAAGGTAATTTTTTTTTTTGACGCCGATTGTGGGAACACAGCGGTCGGGGAGTCCGATATTGAGATCGATGGCGGTGTTTGAGAAGGCGCGGAGGGTTCGGAGCCATAGAGCTTGTGCGGCCGACGTTGATGGAGCGGAGAAGAGGAGGTGGTGGCAAAATTTCACGAGCGAAAGGTAGACTCGGGACGGAGTTATGACGGAGTGTTATTTTTGATGAAACGGGATGTATTTAGGTGGTAGGTATGTAAATAGTATATTTTAGATGTTAAATAAGTAAATATAATAGTTTGAAGTGTAATGTAGGTAAAAATCCCTACAACGCCGCGTTCTACACTCAAAGCCTAAAAGGGCCTTTTTCTATCATCGTCAAAGTTGGCGGCTCGCAAAGGGGTCCGGGCGATCGAAAATCCGAGCCGATCGCCATTGCCAGCAAGCTTTTGATTCCCAGCGGCTGGGAGAAGTGGAGAGCCCCACTCTTATGCCCTAAAATATTAAAGATGGAGGATCCCCATTACACGGCGCTCTCACTCACAGGTTTCTCCTCTATTCCCCTCCCTTTTGATTGAATATTATTCAAGAGATTGTTACTGATCATCTCGGATTCTTTTGTTTCTGGGGATTTTACTTTTTTATGCAATGGGTGAAATTACCGTAATAATTCTAGGAAAAATATATCCAATCGTGGCCATCTAAGCTTTTTTAGATCGCAATGAATAATTTTTTATCATCCACGAATCATGGTTCTGTTATTTTCTCCTTACAATTACAATCAATTTTCTCTAAGTAGTTTGATTTTCCACATTTTGCGCACAAAATGAGCATTTTCTTCTGCTTAGTAAGCTAACAAAGCCCCAATTGAATTTTGCTGAGATTTTGTTTAACAATCGAATTTTTGCTGCCAAGTAAACAACCTTAAATTGTTTTGTTTGTTTTTTGGAGTAAATAATGGTTCTATAATCACTGTGTTTTCATATGGGAATAAAAGGGCTGTAAACAAATTATTACTCGATCCTAATTTTTGTTTATGGTGTATTGATTAGATAATCTTGGTCATAGTTTAAATCTGTTAGAAATCAAATGCTGGTGTAAATTTAAAATCTCATTCGTTTTCTTGTAGATACAATATATGTTCATGATTTAATTCTGATAAATTTCATTGTTTTCCAGATGTGTTTTGTAATTTCAACCAAGTAATGGCTCAAAATTGATTAATGGGACTAAACCTCCAAGGAAAATTTCACTTTAGAGCTTACTTAAACAAGCATGTCCTCAGATTTATACTCATTTTGTACTGAATTTTATCCATGTTTTTTTTTGTCCATACCAACCATGTCTAAGATTCTAGGATTACCAGTAATTTTTAGTGAATTAGTTTTTTTAATAACAATATTTCAAACAAAGGAGGACAAGAGCAAGGAAACCAGCACCTCCCTAAGGATTTGATGCCACCTACCTCCTCCAAGTTTAAACAATGGCGATGGTGGCTACTTGTTTTCCTCAACATCTTATTCCTCCTAGTTGGCCAGACTGCCGCCACTCTACTTGGCCGGTTCTACTATGACCAAGGAGGAAACAGCAAATGGCTCTCCACCCTCGTCCAGACCGCCGCCTTTCCTCTCCTACTCCTTCCTCTTATCATCATCCCCAACACATCCTCTTCTTTCTCTACCACCGATCCCTGCCCATCAACCGGCAAACTCACCCTCATCTACATTGCTCTAGGCCTGATTATTGCTGCCGACAACCTTATGTACTCATATGGCCTCCTCTATCTCCCTGTCTCCACCTACTCCCTCATTTGCGCCTCCCAACTCGCCTTCAACGCCATTTTCGCCTTTTTCCTTAATTCACAGAAGTTCACCCCTCTAATCCTCAACTCCGTCGTCCTCCTCAGCTTCTCTTCGGCTCTTCTCGGCGTTGATGAGGAATCTTCCAGTGACTCCACCGACATTGCCGGCGGAAAATACATACTGGGTTTCATACTGACGCTAGGAGCATCTGCTACCTACTCACTAATCCTCTCCTTGATGCAACTCACCTTTGAAAAAGTTATAAAGAAGGAAACTTTCACGGTTGTCCTGGAAATGCAGATATATACATCATTTGTTGCTTCCTGTGCTTCAGTCATTGGGCTTTTTGCCAGTGGAGAATGGAATAAATTGGATGGGGAGTATGAGGAATTTGGCAAAGGAAAGGCTTCTTATGTGATGACTGTGGTGGGAGTAGCATTGGCATGGCAGGTAGCTTCTGTTGGCGTGGTGGGCTTGATATTTGTGGTTTCTTCGCTGTTCTCGAATGCCATTAGCACGCTGGCTCTACCTGTTGTTCCGGTTTTCGCGGTCATCTTCTTCGGCGATAAGATGAATGGGGTAAAGGTTATGGCCATGTTGATTGCTATTTGGGGATTTTTATCTTATCTGTATCAGAATTATGTGGATGACTTAAAAGCTAGGAGGTCTCTGAAGGATGCAAGAGATATCTCTGATACTTCTGTTCCATGATGCTGGAACTGCTTCAGGTAATTCTGAATTGTTTTGTTGGGCTGTGCTTAATTGATGGCATATAGCCTGTGTTGTTTTGATTTCTGATATTGTTTAAAGCAATATTGTTCTCATCTCCTAGGGATATAATTGTACCAGGAGAAATGTTTTATTATAATAAACACATAATATGAAAGGGTGAATTTAGAATTTTTTTTAGTGAGAGCACCATAAAAAAAATAAAAATTTACTATCTTAAATGCTATTATAGGTTGTACTAACTATATGTTGATGAAATGATAATGAATAGACACGAATGTCTTCTATGATCTCTTTGAGGTTTTGATATCTGCTCATTCGTAAATACTTTATCTGATGCTGCTTACATGTGCTTATTTTTTGAACATTTTGATCTTGAGTCTTAACATAAAAAGGGCTGGCTCAAGTCTTTGACTTGATTGAGCAAATCAATGGGGCTGATCCAAGCCAATGGACATCCAAGTCAATGGGGCTGATCCAAGCCAATGGACATCCAAGTCAATGGGGCTGATCCAAGCCCCGTTACTTTAGATTTGCTCATGCATGACAATGTGGTTCTTCATTTGTGCAATTTTAAATTAATTATTTATGATAAATAAATGCTCCATTGTTGTATGATCAACTAAGACCTCAATTGGGATAACTTTATTTTTTTAAAAATAGCTTTTTAGCAAAAAAAAAATTTTGAACTAGAAGTTTTTGTGTAAAAAATTGTTTTAAAAAACAGTAAGTCGTTCCAAATGAAGTCTTACAGTTACATGCTTGATATTTATGGTTCAAGAAAACTGATCTTAATCTAGATTCACTTATTTAGGCTGTTTTTAACGAGAAATTATTCTGCGCGGAGACCAACACAGAACACCTAGTGGCGGTACTGAGCAGTATTGAGCCGCGTTACCGAGCGAAGGGGTGATGTGGTGCATTCTGATTGGTTTCTAGATGATTTTTTGCGTTCGCACAGAATAATTAGTCCTTTTTGACAGTTGCTTTATCTGTGCAGCAAAGGGATGGAGACTAAAGAACTTTTTTAGCCAGCCTCTTTTAAAAAAGTGCCATAAAATAGTCCTAGTTTCGTGTTCAAATTTTTTAAAGTTTTTAAGATTTTCTACTTGCTTTATGTCTTATCTTTCTCATTTCTTAGCTTTACCATAAACAAAAACTCGTTTGATTCTAGCACATTCCTTGCTTTCATAAAAGAGCTATTATGTTGTTTCAAAACAAAATATTCTTTATGAACCAATACAAAGCTTGTTCATTTGTCAGCATCAAGCCATTAGATTTGGCCTGACATCATTGCACATGATCTCCAATCTCCATATCACATATTTTAGCCAAATATTAAAGAAGAAATGCAAAGAAAATATAATCTTTTATAATACCGACTCTACATAGTGGTATAAAGGCTCGATGTTGTTGTTGTATCCCTCGTAATATGCTTATCTTGAAAATAACTTCCAAATTGCTGTTAGGATTAAAACACCCTCAAATTTCATATGGAAGTAGAGAATATCATCATGAAATTCAAAACCAAATTTGATTCAAGGTTTGAACGAGGCTTTGGTTCCCACTTGTCCATGCCAATTGAAGAAGAACTCTGGGAATGTGGAGGGATTCTCCTCATCAAAATTCCTGTTGCTGTTGCAGAATCAATAGAAGATTTCATCTTAGATGCCAAAGAACTCGCCACCAATAATTCCACTGATGTGGAAGGTACCTCCCTTACTCCCTTGAACTTCAGATTCTGTTCTCAGCCAGATCTAGCTTCTTCTCCTTATCCAACAATGAAGGGGTGTGCTTGTAGTTGTCGCCATATGTGTTGGGATCAAACCTTTCCGGTATCATAAACCTGAAAATTATTCTGTGCGGTCACCGGATGCCATTCGGAGGTAAATCAGGATGCGTCACATCACTCTTTTGCTATGTATCAGGTGATCTGACACATCCTGATTAGCTTACGGATGATCTGGTAACCGCACAAAATAATTTCTCCATAAACTCATAGGTGTGGACATAGGAGATGCACAGGTACAGAGATCCGCTCATGATTTTGCTCATACTGAAGTCGACATTGACAATGACGTTCTTGAAGATGTTTATATGTATTTTGATCGTATTTTTATCCTAAATGCATTTTGGAGGATATTTGATACTGCTGATATGGTTGTACCTGATTCGCCTCCGGACAGAGAGCTGTGTCCGGCCTCCGCTTAGGATAATTTCTCCATTACAAGGGATAAAAAACGTAATCAAATTTCTGAGAATAAAGGGTTTTGATGATCGGCCTAGCAGGTGATACAGTTTCTTAATGCAATAATACGAAATCTGATTTAATTCGAGAAAATTTGGGGATCATAAGCCACCGATTAATTCATTCACTTTCTTATCTTGAATATAAACGATCAAAATTTGCATTGGACTAAAGTGGTAATGTAAAATTTGAAATAAACAAAAGATATATCAAATAAGTAAATATTTAATGCTACAAATTGAGTTTTAAGTTTTAACTGCACCAGATTTGAAAAAAAAAAAGGTTGGAATTGAAATATATATATATATATATATATATTGCCATTGCCAATTGTTGTTATCTTCCTACCATTGTCGATGCTGCCTGTACGTCACCAACCACAACCATGGCCACCTCTCAATAAATACGGCCAGCCACCATCTGTCATCGCCACCGACCACATGCCACAATCATCATTAGGTTTGATATTGCATTTGTTTTATGTCAAGCTAAACAAGTAATTACCTGCATTTTTTTAAAACTCATTTAAACAACTTTAAAATATTTCAAATACATTATATTTCTTTTACACATCATTCTTTTTACTCTGCATTCATTTTTTAAGCAAGCTGAACAACCTTTTAACCATAGTTGAAGGAATAAGCTATTCAATTTGCACACATCATATTAAAAATTATTAAAAAAATTAATCAACCAAAATTCATTAACTATATGCATAAAAAATTTATTTATACACTCTTCATATATTAGAATGATAGGTATATTTGCTATATTATTAGTTCAATTAAAATTTAATTTAAATTTCAAAAATATTAAAAGTACTTCCTGTCCAGGTTCAATGTGCCGATTAGTTTGCTTGAGAAAAAAAATTGAAAAAAAAAAAATATTAACATATTGAAAATAAATTGCTCCCACAATAAATTTATGCTCAGACATTTAAGCTTCATTTGAGACGACTTTTTTAGTGCTTCTTAAAACAATAAAAAAACTGTCGCAAAACTAAACATTAAATTTTTTTTCCAAACAGTACTACTTCTCTGTTGTAATCACCATAAATAACTCCATTGCCTAATTACTATAAATTCAAAGGAAAGATCTATCATTTCTGACTAAACAAATCAGAGATTAAGCCATTTTAAGCTTTTAACAACAACAGCCAACAACCAACTAAATCATCTAATTAGATGAAAATGCTATCTATCTACCCCATAACAATTTATTATGGGATTTAAATAAACTTAATGAAGACTAAAGTTTTATTAAATTATATGTACTAAGATAGTAACATAATACAAATAGGAAATTAATATTTTATATGCACTAACATAATATTTTATACACTCATAAATCATAATACTTGCATGATAATACTCTTAATATAATTAGCCATCTTATTGTACATTAGATTTGACAACGACATCAACTCTTTATTCTACTACGTGGGATCGGCTATATGAATTTTTTTTCTCGATTGTGTCATGTTAAGATTCAAATTCTCATTTAAATCTAATAAATAAAGTCCATTTCTAATATTTTCTAGCCAAGTCTTTTTAGGTTTATCTATATCTTTCTTAACATAAGTCAAATCTAATACATTCACTTTCCTAATCAGGTCATTCATAAGGTCGTTGTTTTATGTGGCCAAACCAACTAAGGCGACTCTCTCAAATCGTATCTTCCACTAGAGCTACTGCAAGCTTTTCACGTATATGCTCATTTCATATCTTGTCTCTTAACGCCACTCATCAACTTGAACATTATCATCTCTGCAACATTTAACTTAATATTATGATTTTTTTTAATGGCCAATATTCTACACCATAAATTAAGCATTGCACATCATATTTGACATAACTAATTTTTTTTTTTTTTAATTTGCTTATAATAATAATCTATTTTGAAAGATTAAAACTTACTATCTTTTCAGATCCATCATGTGAAACCCTTTAAGCAAAAGAATCTAAACTCTTAAAAATCGAGACATTTTTTAGTATAATGATTGAAATTCATCAAGAAACTATGCAGTTAAGCGTGCCCATCCGGAAGAAATCTTAAGATTGATGACCTCCTTGTCTTAAAGCCACTCATCAACTTGAACATTATCATTTCTGCAACATTTAACTTAATATTATGATTTTTTTTAATGGCCAATATTCCACACCATAAAGCATTGCACATCATATTTGACAGAACTAATTTTTTTTTAATTTGCTTATAATATTAATCTATTTTGAAAGATTAAAACTTTATATTTTCAGATCCATCATGTGAAACCCTTTAAGCAAAAGAATCTAAACTCTTAAAAATCGAGACATTTTTTAGTATAATGATTGAAATTCATCAAGAAACTATGCAGTTAAGCGTGCCCATCCGGAAGAAATCTTAAGATTGATGACCTCCTTGGAAGTTGCACCAATAAGATAAAACCGTGAGACCCTTTAGTTAAATAGAACATTATCTTGATAGTTACTAGTTTGGACTTTTACAAATGGTATCATAGCGATACACCAACCGAAAGATAGGAGCTAAGTGCTATTCAAGATAAAATTCTACACCATGGGAGCAACCTCTTGAACCCTGTATAAGATAAAGAAATACTTGGCGAGAGTCACCATTTGAACTTGTATGTGTCACCTCTAGAATCCTATACGCCTAATGGATGATTATGGGATAAAGATGTTGATGAGAACATCAATTACTTTAAAGGGGGAGATTAAGTAAACAAAGCTAAACTCTTAAAAATCTCAGAGTTTTTTTGTGTGATGGTTGAAATTTTATTAAAAAAAACTCGGCAGTTTGCATGCTCATCCTGAAGAAATCTTGGGTGGCAGTTTAGAAGTAACTAAATATGTTTCTCTTTTCTTACGGAATCTATTCATCATTGCAAGATCGCAGTCAACTATAAAATTAAGAATTCGTTTGGGACAACTTT